TGTGTGTGAAATGTACGGGCTTGTTCCACCACCTTCCTCTTCAACTCCCAGTCGCCTTGGTTAGGGTATGTGGGCACTACAGTACAGTACTTGCTAGTCACTGATTGATTCGTCATATGAGACTCCCTGGTGTAGGGTTCAAGGGAGATATTATAATCTGCGGGACTGATTTCTTGATGATTGATCCGAGTAACGTAGGTTTTTCACCTGCTTGAGTGATTGTTTACTTATTTAGAGTTCAAGTATATCGGAGAGGAGAGAAAACGAGGAAAGGATGCAGTCCAGACAACGGAAAGAGGTTTGTTCGAACATTCCTCTTCTTTTTTGTTTTGTACAGTCAACGATGGTGGTCAAGTTAGAGACGGCTAGGGGGATACAGGTACAGTATGTGCGATACATGATTCGAGATTGGTGGATCTTACTCAGTTTCCTCCCTTCATCAAAAGATTTCCACTTCATCGGATATTTATTCAATAGTCCTCCAGCTGCTCCACTGTGTTCCTACTGTCAACTGTCAAGTGGGGTCTTCACACACATATCCAAGATATCGTTGCGGTCAATGCTTCGACGGGAGATCATCTCATTATTTGCCATATGGAATGCTGCTCCAGCGCATCCTGCAGCTTCACTCGAGGTTTTGACCTATTCACTGTCGACCATCCAGTCCCGTCCCGTAGAGGGATCAGGGGTGAAAGTAATAATTTCAACGTTGTCTAAGCCCCTTCTTTCTACGTTCACGTGTAAGTTTGCATCAAACGAGGGGGAGAGCTAATTAGCACTCACCCTAGTATACGCTCTTCTCTCTGATTCGTCGAACACCCTATTTTAGAAGTAGGTGCTCCTCGTCCCATGAACCCTATAATCGTGCATCTACCAATCAGAGAAGAACCTAGAGTAGAGTGAGGGCTAATTAACCCTAAGTGAGTGATAACTAGCCGCTCCCCAAACCAGGTCCTGGTTTACGACTCATTGTCTACCTTCATCCGTGTATCTTTCAACGTCTTCCCACTCGTATATCACCTCCTGCGAGTACTGCATATAAATACTGGGGGCCGTAAATTGTCGATACGATCCTTCCTTGAGAATCTAACCTCAATTTTGGACCTTCACAGGAGCAAGAACGCTGATTGTCTCTAGTACTGGAAATGAACCCTCTTGCATTAAAACATATTGTGCAGTATCCCAATTTCTGCCAAACGCTCAAATTATCTCAGCATCCTCAACTCCTGAGAGAAATCAGTAGAGGCACCGTGAAAACTGTCTTGAAAGTTTCGAGCCCGAATGTCAATTCGGAGTTCCATAGATAAGTTCCATCTCAACTCTTCCTTTTCCTTTCAAGCGGGCTTATCACCAGTGACCACCTTGCATGGACGGAGTTGATCAGGCGTATATTTGACAGACTGTGGACTCAAATCCTGGCAACCGATCGAAGCAGAAGGAAGCTTTGGTCATAAAACCCTCTAGAAATGTTAATTTCTCTTCCGCGTCAGACCCAATCAAGGCATTGACTTTAGGTCGGTGATCGATTTCAACGGATACCGTGTACAAGTGAAAACATATTATCGTCCTAGATCAATGTTTCTTGTAATACACAAAGTAAGTGTCGTAGGGTACACTGAATTCACTGAGTATTTTGATCCCTTCTGTATAAGAGTATGTATTTTACCTAATTTCGTACGACACTCTTGTCTGACATGAACAGAATAAGGAGACAGGGTTCACAAGGATGGGATGGATCACATGCATAGGGTAGCGTGACCGTCTTGCAAAGATCTACAGACATACGTAATACCTAGTACATACATGAGTAATCATCAAGGACTAATATTACATGTAAACGTAGAATCATAAACTGATATTTGAGGAAAGACAATTGCTTGTTCATGTATCTTTTTCCCAACTCTGAAAACAGTCGGTTAGATATCCGAATGCATAGCAACAACTGCATGAGCCTTTCCACGTTGTTTGTTCAGGTTATTTATATCCAATTTTGTTATTACCTGAACATCGTGCTACTAAAAAGACCCAATCATACATGGTTGAAGTTATTACTATGTACGTGATGTTTCTGTCATTTAAAGATGGAAGTCGACACATGGGACGAAGATCCACGGCCACGTAATTAGTAAATGGTCTCTGAGTAGTTTGCTCCCTAACGTGCTGATTCAAATTTGGAACAATATTGTGCGCATCGGCAATTGTATTTGCATTACGAAGAACCTACACATGGATCTAAAAGCTTGAATCGTATCCCTATACATTATCCACACCGTTCAAGAAATTACTGGTTCACAACTATCATATATCGTATCACTCATTCTCAAAGTTCTTAATAATATTTACAGTAAATTGAGATGAAATCAATACAATGTAGGTTCTAAAAACTCAATAAATGAATTAACATATATTACTCATATTTATCCTGATGTTAAGATTTAAAATATATTCTTATTTATTCAAGATAAATCGAAATAATGATATATTCTCTTAATGATGATTTCTTTTTCTATTATTTGTAAAGTGAAAATTTGTCGTATTTATTTTACATGTTGTACATTAATTGCATACACTTCATTATCGAATCAATTAATAATTTTTTGAGATCATTTTATAGTTCAAGAATAAAAGAAACTCACGATATAAAACAAAATTATGAACAATATCGGCTATTAACCTTATAGGTTTAACATGTAACGTTACACCTTAGACAAAGTCGCACTTGCAAACAAGCAATGTTAATCAATGATAAAAACATGCCACATTCTACAAATATGACATAACCAAATCTCTAATGGATCATTATATGAAGTTTTTTGTGATTTCGTGAGATTTTTGAAATCACGGAATTGGTTTAGCTGTATTATATTCCATCTTGAACACTGCTTTTAAAAAAAATGATGAATTTTTAATGTGAAACTACTAGAATTATCTGAAGCTCAGTGATGTTATACAAAAATTTCACAAAATTTACCTACCACATTTACGTGTTTTGGATTCCCAAAAAGTCTAATTTAGAACCAACAAAACCAATACCAGCACAAGTGTTGTTCAAATAAGTGAATAAGTAGGTCATGGAGTGCTTTGCCCGCCTGATGATACGTAAAAGAGCTGTATGATTTGGTATAAGTCTTTTACCTGCTCCGTGTTTACGTCTATGCTCAACAAAACCAAATGCAAATACGTGATATCGTGGGATCCAATTATTATTAACGGAAAAGACTAACCGGCGAAGCATCTAAGTCAAATAGAGCTAAACAGAAAGATGAAATAGAAGCAACGAAGAAATAGAGATGATATGGAGAATACCAAAGGCTACAAGAAAGTCACATAAATGAAGTGCTCATGATTAAAAAGGTCTCTCGGATGATCTTTTAGAAGCAGTTTTCCAAGCGTTGCTGAGCATGTATTCATGTTTATGATCTGCGGAAGTTCCACGGAGTGGAGGTCACCCATCCCAGACCTCTTCCGTGCCAAGGGCGCTTAACTGCAGCGGTCTTATCGGATCTGGGTTACACCAGTCCGGACGTATGAAAGCAAGAGACTCGACCAGGTGGTGAGTATCATCAGGCGGGCAACATCATTATCTCAAATCCAAGCACTGTGATCTTTTCTGACATGAGAGATGTCTAGGAAAAATCTGCTCATACGTTACATGCACAGTGGGTGTATTAAGTGCAAATTGCGTAGGCAGAATCATAATCTCCAGACCTTGGCGTGATCTTTTCTGACAGGAGGGGGAGGAGAGATGTTTTCAACATGCGTAGGCGACAGTGCCTGCAAGAAAGTACAGTCCAGTATGTGTTGCGCGGGGGCCTCCTGATGTGGAGCCAAGATCAAATGTCCAGAAAAGGCCTCCACAACATTGCCTAATTACGTGCCGCTAGTTGGTCAAAGCTTACAATTTCGAAAGTTCGGACTGACCAACGTTTGCATGTCGACAGCTCAGCTCAGCTAAACGACGACGCTCGGGTCAATACACCGTACCCGGGAAGTCAGATTGGCGAAGGGAAGAGATTCCGCTTGGCTTTACCGACACATTTCTTCACTTACGCCGAGCGACCAACCGGATCCTCCCTCCCTTCGCTGCTGTTGTTGAACAGCACCGGAGATATGAACTTATTCTCCCAAGTTTCGTGGCTGAATATGGAACTTTCCTCCGTAGATATTTTGTCAGAGCCGCGATAATAGTGATTACGGCTCACGTACATCGATCTGGTGGGTGGCTCAAATGTGACGCATTCGTTGTCGTGGGGGTTTCATGAACGCGTCGCGCGTGTGGCAGGAAAAGGCAGCTGACATTCACGTCGATGTACGCTTCTGCTCCTAGTAATTACTTCGTCTCTTTTCGCAGTATTACTTCATCTTCCTTTCCTTCTATTAATCATCAACAGCCCCCGCACACTTCGGTCAGACTCGTTCGTATCTCATCTTCTTCCATCGTGCAACTTTTACCACCTTCACTGACACAAACCGGATGTAGGGTTTCTCTGTTCATGGAGAGGACCATACTTCCACGCCGAACGAACAGTGGCTGCAGTATAAGCGGAAGTGGCGCAGATGTGCATGGCGTTCGCAAGAACTTTCTGACAAGGCAATTTTCAGAAGGGTTTACTTAGCTCACACGGGCTGCACATTCTTTTATAGGTTGACAGTAACTTCCCGCTGGAGTTCATACTCTGTTCAGCAAAGCCAGTAATAAATTAACGTTAATCTTGGCAATTTAGGGTTTGCGCGGGAGACATTTGCAGTTGCCCGCTTGGTGAAGGTCCGACCTTGACTCGGAACTCCGTTCTCGCTCGGTCCTGATATACACACACGTTTCAATGATGGGCATATGGTGGATACTGGGCGACAGAGTACTGAAACGGTAGCCGGTGAAGGCGCTCTAGACGTACAACGCGTCTTGGCATGGCATCAAGACGCTAGACCACCACTCACAAGTTCATGTGCAGAACCCATTGGCAACCATCGAGGGATGATTTACCCTTTTCAGGGTGTACGAGGAACTTGAAAACAAAAATGAGCTGTACAAGTGTCTGAAGGTAAAGGTGGGGCGTGGTGACTTGATCTTCAGATCGATTTTCACAAGCTGCTCGCTGCATTTTCAGATTGAATATACACCTATGTACTAACTTTCACGTGGCAATTGGCCAAAAGGTCTAAATGTAATCAATGGGTGATAAGCACCATGCTCTAATCTCAACTGTTCACCCCCAGGGTCCTGGACAACCATGTAAAAGGTCACTGGCACGATTCACCGGAAACAATCCCTAAATCTTACAAAATTAGCTGTCGAGCATTTAACACTGTTGCTGCTCCTTGGCTAGAGTCTCGTCTTCTCTAATGTCTTTGGCATTCCCGGGAAGTAGAGGTCGGCGATTTCCCATGATTCCCCATGTGTACGTCCGACAGGCACGAGGACTCCTTTTCGCGACGAAGTTGCACTCGTCATGCTCGTCGTATCCCAAGTCCGCTTGGCACTTTACAATACTCTCGTCTACAGAGAGCTTTAGCCGAGCTCCAGTGACGGCAGGTTGCTGCACGCTCTCACCCTTGAAACCCTTGTCTTCAACACTTCCGGTCAGCTGGCCACTACCGTCCACCACATCCTTCTGGGATGGAACCCCGTCACAGCTCGCTGGACTCTTACCGTCCCCTGATTCCCCATCTCCCATCCTTTTTCGATCGTCCTCTTGCTCTCTAGAGTTAGACCGCTCTTCCTGCGCAGAAGGTTTCTCGACCTGAGGCATATCCCCATTCCCCATGGGATGAGAAGTGGGTAGCGAGCCCTGCAAAATTTGCTTCTCTAGGTGATTAGATCTATCAGGATTACTATTGCAATCTAAACGGCTTCCACTTTCTCTGATATCTAAACGGCTCCCTTCTTCCTTTTGATTCAACTGTTTGAGGACGAATTGCTCCTCTAATTCCAGATCGGTTTCAGCAAGCTTCTGCTGAGTTGACTTGAGTTTCTTCGGTCGGTACATGACTTCTGATGAGCGCAAAAAAAAAGAAACCGTAAACTCTTAGAAGCAAGTTTCGAGAAACGGCATAAACACCGCCTCCAACTGACAGAAACGAGTTAGGTCGCGAGCGCAGTTGTTTCAAAGCAGTAATTCGAAGATAAAAGAATTGCAAGCAAACGTGAATCACCTGCGCAAGGGTCCAGATTACGCTTCTTCGCTTGAGCGCTCGTATCTGGCCTGACGGGTGCACTGGTTGATGCATTGTGCTGGCTCTGGAAACGACTATTCCACCCTTGAGGAGGGGGAAAATCCGGAAGGACTGGAACGCTTTCCATTACTTCCTCCATTACCCCTTGGTACATGTAGTTGCTACAATGAGCTCCATCGGCAAATCCTGAAGACGAGCTCGTGTGTCCCGGGAACATATCTTGCGCCGCACCACCGACGGCGGTAGAAGGAGCTATCCTGGGGTTGAAATGTTGGATCCACGGGCTGGCGAGCACCGCAGGCGGCGAGGAGGGTGCAAAAATGTAATGTGGCCTGTAATACTCCCGTTGGTCATAGCAGCCTCTTTGCAAAGAGGTGAATAACTGGAACAAAAGTGGAACAGAAGCGTTAGGTGACATCTCCAGTCCATGAAGGCTAACAAAACAACTCGCACAACCTTCCGACCGCCTGTTCTAGAACGATGGCATGTTCGAAAGGGAGTGAAGGGATTTTGAGACCTACCTCGCCCGGTCCATGGTGGTAAGCGAGGTAGCTAGGATCCATGGGACGGGACTCCACGCAGTCCTGGTCCTGCTCTGACAAGTCCACGGTTCGATAGTCTTGCTTGAGGAGGCTACGGACGAAAGTTGCCTCGATAGAGTTGAGATAAGAGCAATGTTTGTCATCTGTCCACGCCTTGCCAGCGGATTCCTCCACTCTAGGCGCCTGCAACGAACACCCATGGACATATGTCAGTCAATCCTCACAAGCTGGGCATCCGCACAGGGCCAAAACACATCTTCATCGACACCTTAGGCAAAGCATCGACAATGAGCACGACTGATTGATACCAGCGGGTTCTGCGGTAAATTGCGACCCCGACAAAATTTGAGGATACACAACATGGCCCCATGGCACGTCAAATGCCCGGTCCAAAACAAACATCTAACGAGGGCGTCTACCGGAGGTCGAGCCACAAACTTCAACCGACACCATCCGCCCGTACTGCGTTTGAAAAGCAGAGTAGCTTGAAAAGGCTATTTAATCGGATGGGGAGTAGAAAAGGTTCGGGAGGACAACACATAGAATTGGCAAGTCAAGCTACAAGTCGAATGTCTGACATTACGATAATGCACGTTAGGTTCTAGGTAAATGAAAGAGGACTCGATTCCATCTAATTCAAGGTCCCTCGTCCACACGGAATAGGGTAAGGATGAGTGCTGACCACGGAATCCCTTAAAACGAATACTTCACACAGCAGAGAAACTGAGCACAATGAAAGCATACCGTATTGATGCTGGTATCTTGTTCGTCGAACTGCGTATCTGTCTGACCGCGTTTCGCTCGCCGTGGCCTGTCATCCGCGGCTTTGCATTCCCCCTCGGCGTTTGCTTTCGAGACAGCCTCGTCATAGGTGACAATGGAACCACCTGAAGGACACTTCTCCACAATTTTCTCGTCGCAAGATGGAGCTAAAGAGTCTGCGTCCGATACAAGAGAATTGCTACTAATGGCGTTCGACGATGCATCTGATTCTATAGAACATGCACTATCTTCCGAGCCAGCCCACTCAGACTCGGTGTAGCAACCTGCGTCGGAGGCTTCAGGAATTGCGTCGGCGTCACTCAATGCGGGAGACGACACCGACTCTCCAAACTTCTTGGAAAACGTATCGGCAGCCTTGTCCCCCGTGATAGCCAAATCGGGTGCGGCTTTGTCTATGGTCCCAGGCAGTAACTGCTGCATTGACTCCATACTCTCAAGCTTCCCCAGCTATGCTCAGCTTAGTCACAGAAACCTCGACGCTCCTTACACTATGTAAATAGACTGCGGAGCCTTGCCCCCCTTCCTCAAGTGTCTCAGATTGCGTACAAACGATGAAACCCGACTCATTCGCAAACCCACTAATCAGGTAACGTCACCAGCGTCTACCAATATCCCGCTCTCTGTCAATTGCTAGGAATGCACCCAAACCGAGAACGTTTGTTGTGCGTCGAAACCACATATCCTGAATAGACCAGATACACGAGCCCCGGATGTGGAAGATACTAAGGATCTGAAACTCGTTAGATCACCGTGATCAATCCCGATGTCGATGTGCGTTTCTTTCGACACTCCTCCCTTCTTTCCTCCTCGGACCCCAAAAGCCCTAGGTCGCAGCGATAAGCTCCGAAATTGATTCAGCGCGTGTCTTGAGATGAAGACACTACGTGTCTGAAATCACAAAGAGAAACCAAATACTGGACGCGGAAAAGCACGAAGTGTGAGTGGAAGCTTTTCGGTCCCCGAAGAATGCTTTCTCGAGATCACCAAATGATATAATGTCTGATGCAAACCACCGCTAGACAGCTGTCCTAAGCCCTCCAGCGAGCACAGAGCAAGTGAGAGCGATGTCTCAAAAGGGACAACAAAAAAATCACAGAGTCCGCCGTCGAATGGGTGGGATTGATTGGATAGGGGGGTCTTTCTAATATCAAACCAATCACTGTCCTACGCCTTATCCTCCTCTTCCGCCAAACAAACTAGCGGACTTCCTTACTAACCCCGGCTGACAGACTACACTACCATACTTCTTCGGAGAAATCGCTCTCTTCCGAGCACCGTTCACGAATAAGCGCGTAAGAGGATGACTCAATGTTCCACTCCGCAACGAGGACAACGACAACCCCGGCCGAACTGCAAACAAACCACAGGTCCAGATCTGTGTGTCTTCGTACTCCCTACGAATCAATTCGTCCGTTGCCTCTACAGGTCAGGTCACGAACTACGCCCATTCACGATCTTTCCTTCCTTCGTTCTCCCCTATTCGGCCAGATTCACTAAAACCGACCGACCAGCCAGATGGTCACAGGTGGTGGGTGAAAAATACTCGACTCCAAAATGCCTGCATGCATTCACCCTTCCTCTTCTCTTCTCCCTCTGCACGCTCTTCAGTCGCGCAATCCACCTTGAGGTCAAAGAATGCATGCAAACAATACCACCTAATGTCTCACGGCCATGGCGCTGGAGAGGGACGCAGGGCGAGCAGAGACCAACCACGCCGGACGAGGAAAGATGGGAGGAGGGGGCAGCTGTTGTGGGGGGAAAGGGAGGAAATGGTGAACACGGCGAGGGAAAGAGGGCGGAGAGAGTTCAGGAGGAGGTAAACGTTGCGCAGGCAAGAGGAAGGGCAAGGAAGAAGCCCAAACGCTGCTTTGTTAGGGAGCTATGGCGAGAATGCAACGCCAAAAGTCTTCAGCGTGACAACAGACAGAGTTCCGCGAAGCATCACTCGCTCACTACCTCACGGGGTAAAAATCTACTTCCTATCACCAAAAATATCTGCTGCTGCAGGTTAGCAAGGAAGCTACTGGCGTCCTGGTCCCGGCACCTGTTCCACCACCGCATCCCCTCCGACGCGCTTCACGGCGGTCGGGATCGATCTATCGATCGATCGAAGGATCGTTGATGATCGATCGGCAGTACTCTGTGGTCGTCTACTTCTTCTGGCCCCTCGGACCCGTCACTCTTTCTTTTCCTCTCTCTAACTCTCTTCGTTGTCGTTCTTAAGTTCTTACTTGTTACCCCGTAGTTAAAGGTCATGCGGCAAGTCTGTCGGTAGACGTGTCACATAGATAAAGTACACGATAGGTGAAATTCGCGGATATATTCCTGACGGTGGACGTTTTCTTAAATCCAGTAAACTCCGTAAAGCACAATACGGGCAGCTTGAGGAGAATTGACCTTGCTTCACCTTGCTTTGGCAGTGTGCAGGTGCCCAAAAAAGAACAGGAAAGGTATCTACTTTTAGCCCCCAATTCAGCCAAGAGAAGGGTCTCCACTTGACTTTGGAAGGTCTTGCTGTTCCCGCTGAAGCTATCTCCCCTCTTATGTGGAATCGTCTATAGCACATGGTTATGCAGTCTTGAAATAAGTCCTGTGGGGTGTATGCAAGGCATCCTCTACATGACAAATGGTCGTATTTTCCGTGATGAAATAGAGATTTCGCCCATCAACAAAACAAAATGAAAGTGTCTTAAATCCTTATCATGAAATATTTTCTTTCTCTTTGAAGTCTCATCTCATTGCAATACTATGGGATACAACCATCCTATGAAGAAGTCCTGGGATAAAACTGCTTTAGTGAAATTCCTCTTCAAAACTCTCAAAAAGTGTTCTTAACCTACCAAAATTTCGCGGATATCTCTAGATTAAAGAAACGTAAAAGGTGTCAAGAGGAACTTATATACTATTCCATAATTTTGATTTACAATAGATGGAAGTATATTCGAATAAGAAAACGTAGAAATATTATGGAAACGAGGTTTCTCAAAATGTTGAAGAGTAAAGAGCCTATATGATGTGATTTTAGGTTTTACATCTGTGAAGTTATGTGTGTCGTACCCATTCAGCTCCAGCTCGGCCAAGTACCAGGGCGAAAGACATCTATCACGTAGCACTAAAGTAGTAACTAACTGCAGTACACCAAGAAACGGAGTCCTTGCTACAGAAATTACAGACCGGGACGGTTGTATCTACAAATCTTTCCCACGGATCGTCTCTGGTCTTACCTTGAGGGCAGAAAACATGGAATGTCCTTTTCGCCTTTAGGGGACACCAGAACTGTAGAGAGGACGACCACGTGGGGGTGGCATGTTTCCGATGGGTGAAAATGGAAACGACCTTTATGCTCATTCACTGACCCTTTTCCCCTCCTGCTTTGTTTCGTTCCCATCTGCCCATCTGGTTCTAAGAGGCAAAGGGATCACAGACAATAATTCCTTGGGTCTTTTTTATACTTGTGACTTGCTTTCCGATCCTAATCATCTAGTTCTTTTTTATTGGTTCATGAGCTTCCCATTCTTCTCCCTCCTTCCCCGTATCCATCAGATTTTTAATTCGTATCCATAAGTGGTTCAAACAAGTAATGATGCGTCTGCTCGATGTTTTTACCCCCACCAAAAGGAACTCCAAGTCTAGATACTAACGAAAGGAATATTGCTTAATTGCTTTTTCTGGGATTGAAGACCTTATTAACTATATACAGAGTTTAATTTGGAGAAAGTCGAGAACGTATTATTTTGTTCATAATTTTCTGAGAATTCAATGAGTAGCGCCTCACCTTTCCGTGTAAAGTATCGCAGGCATTATTTTCTCGAACGTAGTGAAAGCCACGAGTGATGTACTACGTGTATATTCAGTTTCTTCATCACCATCTTGAGAGGCACCATTTTACCAGGATTGCCAAACATCAATATATGATAAGCACATGTGAAGCTTGCTTTATGAATGAAACAGTAGGTTTATTGTAATAAAGTGCTTGCAGTCAAATGATAATTGTAATGCAAGCGCTGGTGATTACTTACGATCACTGTAAAAAGCAGAAGAACAATACTTGCACTAGCTTCTGGCGGCAAAACAGCAAAGTTTCCTCCTGAAGTAAGAGTTTCTTGTACCAGAAGGCAGCGTTATGGTTAGAACTTAAAAAGAATGCAGATATGTGCCTTACCTGTGCACAATCTGCTCAAATTCGCTGTATTCTTTACGGGACCAATTCTGGACAATAAATATAGAACATATCCGAAACGTTTAGGATAATGGAAAATGCTGGCGGAGGAGGATACTAAGATTCTTGAAGGCTGAGGAACCGTTCATCGATGGACAAACAAAAGCTGACCGTATCCAAGCTAATATAGGAATACGGAATGGAAGCGAAATTAGAGGAGGAGGGAGAGACTGCTGTTCAGTTATTTGTAGACCTCATTACTACGTTTCCTGAGGTTACTGCCCTTCCAAATTGGGGTTCCACTCCCAATCTGTGGGCTCCTTTTAACCCTACATACCCATTTTTGGCAGTGCGTTTTACTCTAGAGAGCCTCGTTCCTCCTGTGGCCCTAGGATGGCGGAGTTTTCTATCTATTCGGTCCGACAGTTGCCCGGGTGTTATTTTATTACTGCAGCATCTTCGGTTTTCCTTTGACAAGGTAAGTGGGAGCGGGAAAAGAGAACTACAGAAACTGATGAAAGAAGTGGAAACCGGAATAAAGTGCCGGGTAATAGATATATAAAATGAAAAAAGTGCCCCACATATTTTATGGATCATTCATCATCATTCCATTGGCTGTCACAATCTCCATTTGCATGTGTACTCTCCACAACGAGATATTTACAGCACTTTTCGTATTTGGGTGAGATCTAGTCAAGATCTATACCATTGCTCTGGGCAGTGGATACTTATAGCCAATAGAAAAATAGGTAGAAAATCGCCTTTTGTAGTATAATATCTGTTTTTTTCGCCTCCTGGAGTAGTTGTACAGTTCAGCAAGATCTTTTGTTAGTTTTATTAATCGGATGATTCCTGTTATCTTCTGGATGTACAAGTTCAAAAGTACACACTTTTCCCAAAGTATCGATGGAAGATTAATCTGGACTTATAGCCTTGCCAGCTACCATAATAACCACACACAGAGCTACCACCTCGATATTGAGAAAGTCAGTACGCCAATTAACATCGCTTCATTCAGATCTTGTTCTCTCAAAAATATCGTAATACTGGCTGACATATGCAAACTTCATATTTCTTCTTTTCACTCGTTTTCTCTTAAGTGTTAAAAGTCCTTTTTAAACCTCCTAACAGCAAAACCCTTTATACATCCCAATACAGTATTCAATATCAATTTTCATCATAATTGAACCGTATCAGAAACTCTGCACCGCCTGGTTTTCCCAACGCTTGTTAGAAGACGAAGGAAATCGACATGTCCATAGAATACTTTTGAATTCGTGCGCATTCTTAGTCGCATAATCCTGGGGCAGATGGGAAAGAGTCCACTTTGACCATCCTGTAGACTCGAGTATTTCTTGCTGACAAATCGGTCCAATCTCTGTTCCTATTTGCGACTTCGAATTTAGTGACAGTCTTTGGCAGGGAGGATAGTCCACACAGTCTTCACTGCCAAAGACTCGGTGGGCTTTTTACGGTTCAAGGTTAGCTGGATAAATGAAATGATAGAGAAGATATTTTTCAAGCTGCAACAAATATCTTCCCGGTGGCAACAGGCGACAAATATCTCCTCGGCAATTAGCCGAACAGACCGAAGACAAGCGGAACAAAAAACCACATCTCTCCAGAATAACCTGGAAATGGATGGGACCAAATTAACCACCTCATTTGTTTGGGCTGGTATCCAGGATTTAGGTGTAAAAAACTCAAGCTCTTTGTAAAACCTTTCCCACAAAAAAACAACTGCGACCCATCCATATCCACACATTTGGACTCTATCGCTTTCTCCTCTGCTGGAAACACAAGCATATTTAAATTTCAAAAGTAAATCTGATGCTTCGTGTGTACAAAGTACAGAACGATTTTCAAAGCAAAATCTGACGAATAAAAGATTTAAATTTTATTTAAATGAGTCGCCAAAATTGAGAATCAAAATTTTTCTTCCAGATAATGGTCCGGGGCGATGGTGAGCGAAGTTTACACATGTTACGTTTAGCCTGCATACACACAAGATAAAGGACAATTAAAGTGAACAGATAAAAGATTTTCATGCATGGAAATCTTCGAAGATTGTACTCATAGACTTTCACATCATGAGGTCGTTGGCATTTTGTACCTTTTTCAGTACATGCCTGAAACTTTCTTTTTGAAGATTTCCGCTCATCCGCACTTCAAAATCTTTGTCCAAGGAAAGAAACTTTCGACAATGAAGGTGGTGGCTGCTCCACCCGTTCAATCAAGCGAGAAAGACAGTCAAACCCCGTTTTTACCCATGACAGTCATCCAAAATCAGAATATTGTGTCGACGGGGATTGTAGAAATATCCGGGTGAAGTGAAACACCAACGTTACTGGCGTTGTAGATATGCTGTTTGTAAGGTTTTATTATAAAAGTAAAGATAAGGACCAAGTTTTCAATTCATTAGTTCCATGCTTGAGAGTATTAGGAATCTCTCTTAGCATTTGGTGCTAAGTTCATGGCGTCACCACTCCTTACTACGCTAGTTAAGAATCGTCCAGAAAGTGAATATTCAACAGAGATATTTTGGCAACATGTGAGTATATAAGGCAAACACTGCACTCGAGCGAGAGATATCATTTGCCCCTTATGGCGTTCCTTTATAATTTACTATACTTCATATTCAGTTTTCCCCCTGTATGCAATGTATAATAAAGGCTTATTACTCCATTCTAAAAACAACAGACCTGTAAGCACGAGTATTGTGAGCATCGTAAGGGGTTACGTCGTAACCCGATCAAATTCGTAACATACAATTTGATGATGTGCAGAAATCTTTACAATGTGACTAACGTAAGAAAAGAGTCAAGAACTACCAAGTATATGTATAACTTATACCATACA